CCCCCCCCCCCCCCCCCCTGTATACACCGCACTCACACTTTTCCCACACTCGTGAGAAATAACGTTCACACTCTGCACGGCTTGCCGCGGCGTCCACACGCCTCAACTAATTATTATCTTTCTCGACAAACGCGTTTTCAACATGTGAGGAGGCCTGACTCCGGCACCAACCACGGCAATGCCGGTCGACAATCCGACAACGACGGTCGACAACCAACCGACACCGGTCGGCAACACCACGCCTGTCGAGAGTCCACCGCCGGTCGACGGTACGTCACCCCCCGTTCGTTCTGCGGAAAGCTCGCCCGCCCCTATGACGCCGGCTCCTCCTGCCACTGCCACGCCGACGGCGGTTTCTAGAGGTGGCCTCGATACACCGACGCCGACTTCAGGTGAACTCTCGTTTGGTATTTTCTTCCCCTAGCATGTGTGTTGAGATCTCCGGCTTCCGCGCCGACTCCCCCGACCGTTAGGTTTGAAACTAACCAAACCGGAGCCGGGTGCGACCTCTGTCTCAGAAGCACCCAGATTTGTGTACATGTGCAAGGCAAACCTGTAGAGTTGATGCTGCATGGTTTTGTTCGGAACCTGGCAACACGGTCCAATTCTCGTATCATGTCATAGGCGGAGGGCGGTGTACCCTTCTTGCCCAAAATTCCTACTGAATGAACATCGACCGCTCGACTGTTCAACGCCACCCGAAACCATAAGCTCCATCTGCCCACGATCAATGATGCTATCGGAAAGATGTTCACGGCCCGAGCTTTTACATGTGGTCCCCCCTCATCCCCCACGCTCCTTGATTCTGATCCGTGGAGTCCTTGAACAAACGTATCTCCTCATTGGGGCTGTTCAGGCTTTCCTATCTCTCGGTGGCTTTTAAATACCACGTCTGAGTGGAAAACTCGAGCACTGAACGCCCCGTCGAAGATCATTGAGAAGGCGTGTTTCCATCTTCACTCGATGGATGTAGCTGCCGTGCATTTCTTGTGATGCCAAATACAAAGGTGTGTTCCGCAGGTCGTTGTACCCGTATTTCGTGTATGACGGCATCTGAGCTCTCGAGTAGAGAATACGTTGAATGTGTCGAAACGGAGGAGCAATCTGACCAAGTCAACCCCGCTCCCTGGCCTTTGGACTGCAGAACCGGCTACCTGTGACAACGGCATCACCGTGGGTAAACAAGTCGGCGACGCATGCTGCAAGGTCGGCTGCGAGAAGTGCGGTGGTGTTGACTGCTCGACAGCAACAGCAGGGTATGGCGCAGACGAGTGCTGTGTCGACACAATCATGGCTGCAGGTGTCGAATGTGGCGGGGGCGTGGACGTTGCACCCTGCATCAACTACGGTTAGTTTATTTGTTGAGTCCTTTCGTGCAAACGAGCACCAACCGTTGAGTACCAACATTCTGTTGGGTTAGTCTGAACTCCGCGAAACATCGAGGCAAATCATTCTCTCTGGAACAGCTGGTGACAAGCGTTTGTTGGCAATATGTGTGGTGTCAAGGCACCACTGTTGAAGCTCTGAGTTTTCTGGCCCGATGAGATCGGCATATTTTCTCATTCTCGGAGAATGCACATCGTGTGGCGCAAGTCATTCTGCGCTACAATTTATTTCGTCTCCCAAATACATGGCAATACGGAAGATGCTGAAGGGGTTTGTAGAGCTGGTTATTCCAGTGAATTTATCGACTCCATGCGCCGACGAGGATGCCTGAATCATCAACCAATGATTCCATTTTGTCCTCACGGAAGGTGGACATACACATGCAACGCGGGTGTACTGACTGATCATTCGTTGGTGGCAGTGATCCAGGTCCGGATATCGATCGATCTCGAGATCACCAAAAGCGTGGATTTACCTGTCAGCTATAGTGAGCGGTGCCGACTACACCATCTTAAAATGGGTTGGTCAGAGATTTCTCCAATATTCACATCGCATGCCTGCAGTTTTCGATTTGATTGTACAGTATTTGAATAGAGACGGCTCCGTGTGCGTGGCACAGTGACACGTGCGCGTATGGAAACAAAAGACATTCTAGAAAGGCCTCGAGCCCACCTTGTGAGAATGGTCTGTGCTTACTTGTCAATCCGACAATTGTAGCACTACTGCTGTACCACCGCCATGCAGTCCAAATGTCAAACATTTTGCGCCTTTTACTCCAGACACACGGGCCCTAACACCGGCCCCGACGACGTCATACTCCGACGGCGAAGCTTGCATGACTGAACAGACCGCGTGCAAGGTGAGTCCGTGAACATTGCTCTTCCTACTGTATGGATGGGCAAGTTGGACCCCTCCCGCGTGCCGGGCCCGACCCAGCTTTCAACCTACATAGAACATCGTTGCCGGAAAGATTGGCGTCCCGCTTTTCTCGTGGGAATGATGAAATACGATATATATGATGTCGGCGTTAGGTTGCCAGAAGCAGCGACCCCTACTTGACCTCCAAGGATTTTCAGAACAAAGATCCTTGTGGGCACCAGGGATGCCTATTTGACCAGGCCCCTTGAGGATGTTGAAACCCTTGCAATGAACCAAGCTGGAGTGAATTCTGAGTGCTCGAATCCTTCATATTCGTTGTTTCTAGTGGTAGTATTGACAGCACGTGCCCTAAGACGCGCTCTCTCGTCGCCTCGCCTCCGGACCGACCTCCGCCTCCGCAGAACGACGGTGACTGTGGCCCGTGCATCGTCACGACGTCCGTGGACCAACAAGCGGCGCTCACAGAGTGCCAGAAAGATTACGAATACGACGGGGATGTCTTGTGCAGCCCGGCTACTGTGCTGGCATGTTGCCTTGCTGAGTCGTCCCCACTTTCTGATTGCCCTGATAACGACCTGTTCGTGGAGTATGCGACATGCCTTGTCGAGGAGATGAGCGGTGGAGCGGACTGCGATTTTTTTTGTCGCGAGACCGACGAAGCTGTAAAATCCGCGGTTGAAGTTGGGGAAGGTAGCGGCGCGGGGCGCCTGTCATCGGCGTTTGGCCTAGGTGCGGCCGTTGTCATGACTGCCCTCTATGCGATCACGACCGCCGGCACAATCATATAAAACGGCCGCTAGACACAACTTCTAACTGCAGCTCTCACGTCTGTAGTCTGTAGAAACACGGAGTAGACTACTCCCTTCGCGCGAAGCGAACCCCTTCGGCAGAAATTCACGTTTTCCGGTGATATAGCCTTTGGGATGGCCGAGAAGAAGGAAATGTACATGTTGCATGTTGTCAATGGTGTGAAGTATTTGGGTTGTAAGCTTGCATGGTACGATGATCGAGGTGCAGGGAAATGAAAAGTGGAGGAACAAGTGAACACGTTAACGGGCGGGGATCGGGGCAGACAGGGCGAGACAGCTTCGTAAGGAGGTCCGCGTACAGCACGTAGTCTAGACTATTTAAACGATACTGGAAAGCGGGAAAACCTGTCGAGGAAGATGCAGCCTTCCCGCCTATTGGATGCAGTAATTCGATAATCGATTCCCGTTTTCAACCAATGGAGCCCTCGGTGGCGCATCGTGCGATATGTGAGAGCTCTCAAACGCGAGGGTGCTTCGACTTACTGGAGGACTGTCTACCCGTTGAATGAGTTTGCAAGAGAGGAAATCAGCACGGTAAAAATTACCGTGCGTATTCTGTGCCGCAGCGTACATGCAGAGAAGAGTACACGTACGAACTATGCTGGTGTCGTGTCAGGTGCTGCGGTTGTAGTGAATGTGGGTGATGTCCGGTAGAACTTCCGGGAATTGTGGAAATGCAGACGATGTGTCGGATACTGGAGGGTTTGTGAAATTGGGTTGAAATAACACGTTGTCAATTCCAAGACGACAGAAAATCGGTCTTGAAAACGTATCAATATCGGGGAAAAGCCACTTAGGACCCGTTTGATGCCCAAGTCAAGTTTCTCGGAATATTATCCCACTTTCGACCATGACCACCTGCCAAGCTGTGATGGACTTATCGCCCTCGGGCTTGAGTGACACCCGATTCTCATGTCTGCACGCGTCGAAAACATATAAACCGCCATGTACAGGAGACGTTTGCACCGTACTGCACGGTGTGCCTGTCCACAGGCAGGCGACTCCGAAATCCAGACTCACGCAAAGAAAAACAGCGTGCACACAGTGCGGATTTGGCCAACATTATGGGGTCCTCCTTTGTGCGTCACTCCACGCGGCCTCCCAATCGTGTTTCGAATCCTCTCCCCTGCCTTGGTAGATTGCACTCAAAACGAAGCCCATCCGACAATTTCACCTCTTCCCATCGCAACAAGTCATTGAGAAGTTCCTCGCCATCCTGTTATATCCTCCCTTTCGGAGAGAAACAACGATTTCAGTCACGTATCAATTCCCAATCAACCGACAAAACATCGCCGATTCGCTTGTAGCGTGGGACAAGACTCCGCTGGGGGGCACAAGCAGTGGTCTTGAATAATCGACAGGAACCGACGGCAACGCAAGCACTACGTCAGCCACGACAGCGCACGAGCCACACAAGAAACACACACAGAAAAACGCACGCCCTCGAAACCTACTGAAAACACAAAACTTCCCCGACACCCACAAACGGTAGACACATGATAATCAGCTGCCCCCGCCTTCGCCGCTCCCACCGCCGTAGTACGCATCGAGGTCTCGTCGCGCGGCGCAAGCAGACCTGCTACCGGTGACGGCCGTCCCTCTCCGCACCTCTTCCGACGTTGGCAGCGGCACGGGCCCGTCGTCGCCGTCCCCTCCGCCCCCGAACGGCTTCCAAAACGCGTCATCATCGCTCCCTCCGGGAGCGGGGTTGTTGCCGCCGCCGCCGCCGGCTGTCGCGGTTTGCGCCCTTCTCTTCTCCGCGATTCTCGCCGCCACCCGCTCGTCCGCGGCCCTCTCCTCGTCGCTGTCGTCTAGGACGGTCTTGATCTTGGTCACCGCCTCCTCCACCGCCTCGGCGCTGCGGCGGCGGAAGTCTCTCCACCCGTCCCCGAACTTGGCCAGCCCCGCGGCGGCCGCGGCTATTTTTTGGGGGGGAATACGCGCCCCGATCGGAGGCAACGCGAGCGATCGATCGCGGTCACGGCAGGGACACATGTTGGTAAAAAAAATGGAGATATTGTCGAAACAACTCGAGGCACTCTACTTTGCGCAAGACGATGGGGCTAGTATCCAGGACACACAAAACACACTTAGTGCTCATGTTCAGGACACACAAACACACACATCTTGGCAGCTGGTCGTCAAGACATTAAACCACCTTGTGCAACGCGGGATTCAGCTATAGTAGCCCGAAAAACACCAGCCTCGACGTACCGCCGGGGTCCCTTCTTGCCGGGGACGTGGAGCGGCCTTCCGTCGACTTCCTTCGGATGCTCAGGCCCGTCCTCGCTGGTGATTGTTGTCTCGGAGATGACTTCTGCTGCAGCGGGACCTTCGGAAGCGACAGGGGCATCCCCCCGGCCGTCATGTCTTCCAGTCTCCGCTTCATCTCGGCCATGGACGGCGGCTTGAACATTTCCCAGCCACCCCCGTCTGGCTTCACCGCCGCCGCCTCTCCACCTTGACCCCCTCCAGCGGAGGAGAGTCCGCCACTACTGCCATCTACGGCGCCGCTACCCCTGTCCGGGTCCGAGGTCTTGCTCGAGACTCTCCCCGGTTGCACTCCGCCGAACCTATCGGTCACCGTGGCGAACGAGTCTGTGATGGACTTCAGCACCTCATCGGTCTTGCCTTGCAGCCCACCAACCGCTGCCGCCGTTGCTGCTTTCAGAGATTCATCGGCACGATCTGCCGCTCCGGTCTGATCGTTCCCACTCGCCGTAGCGATCGCTGAGTCCGCCATGCCGTCATCTGCGTGCTGCGTTCCCTCGGCAGAGCCGTTGACGTTGTCGGTTGGCTCCGGGTAAACGCTGAGGAGGGACAGCTGCTCCTCCACGTCCTCGGAAGGGTAGAGGACGTCCTGAGCCCCGGAGGGGAGGGGGTCGCGGCGCAAGGGTCGAGATCGGGGCATGACGCGCACTCCATGAGAACACGGAGAGAACCCGCAACACACAGCTCGAGAGTCTAGATGTAATCCAAGTGCGCGAGGTGGAGAGGGAAGCGATGGACAAAAGCACGTTGACTCTCCCACACGGGGATATCACACGCGAAAGAAATGGCGAGGTGGAATGTACAGGGTAACGGTACACACAAGCAAACCTCCACCGGGAGGGCCATATACATGCCGAACAGAGGATCGCAAGCTTCAAACCGAAAAAAAAAACGCAACGCCAACTAAATCGAGGAACTCGAATCAACAAGATTCGGGGGCACTCTACCGCAGCATGTGAGCACCACGTACATCTACGTGGAAGCATTCAACAAAACGTATCACACAGTGCACATCGCGGTGAAACAGACCTGACAGCTGTGGGAGTCCCCGCTGGGGCCGGACACGCCCCCCTGGTGCCTTGCCCGCTCCACGCACGCGCAGAAGAGCTGAGCCTGATCCTCCCAATTGTCGCCGTTAGCCCCGGCCTCCTCTGCCAGCAGGTCGTCCGAGAATATTCGCCACAGCTGGGTGGAGTAGACAGCCTGGGGACGGCACAAAGAGCGACGGAGTGGACACAGTCAGTGACAACACAGCATTATATCTAAAAGCGGTGAACGGCCTTCTACATAGGTCGTGCTGAAAGGCAGCAGGGGCGACACAATGTGCGACGCCCACTTCGTTTTATATATTTTGTTGCGACCGTCATCGTTGATATACAAGCGTCAGGAGCAACGAGATGATCGTACAGCATACGTGCTCGTTTTGGGAACGACCTGATGTCGAGATACGAGGCGGTCTATCGGTACCTTGTCGTGCGGGTATCGTTTGCCGGGAGGCAACATTTCTCGCCACGCGATCGACATTCGGCGAACCTGCTCAGAACCTCCACTAGAGCGGAAAAAATCAAACACGAACAACCAACATTGACTTCATCAACAACAACACCATCCACAACAGCGACAGCGACAGCGACACCAACACCAACACCAACACGAATTGGCGCTCACCTCGAGTAGCTTACGGTGGTCCTCAGGCGCCTCACTAACCATGCGCTTCTGCGATCCAGCCACATACCGGTATGTCTGATAGGCCCCAAACTGCAGCACCAAACCCACAGGGAGAAAGGCGGGGGAACCGTGAGTAAGCCATACGGTGGTCGTTCGGGAGGCGAAAAAAAAAAAGTGGACCGTTCCAGGACAGAAGATGAAAGGAAAGGAAAAGTCTCAGGGAAACAAGCGTTTCAGGCGATCACAATCAAGGAAGAAGACAAACACAAAAACAAAACGCAACACACATAGCCGCCGCTCTAAGACGGGCTTCCTTTCATCGATCAGCCGGCTAGCGAAGCCGATGCAAAGAAGAAAGAACCACAACACACACGCGCACACGCACAAAACACCACGGGGACCTCGTGCAAAGGAGGCACGGTTCCGTCAAGGGTGTTGCAACAAGGTAGGAAACGCGGCCGCCCCTATCGTCGAGACGAAGCACACAGTAGCGACCTCACGACCACTGTCAAGTTTCACATCGAAGACCCCCGCATCGCCTACGCAAAAAAACCGGCCAATCAGAATTCGACGGCCGAGGCGCAACTGCTGTAGTGACCAATAGAGGAACAGCCGGGGGCAGTGAAACTCAGGCGCTGCTTCCAGGCATTTGTGAAACGATGCCCCCCGCTGACCGCAGGCAACACCTCGGATACGACGCGTGTTGACGACACCGAGGTGACCACCACGAATGAGCGCCGCCCAGCATCAGCAAGGGTGAGCTAGCGACAAGCAACACAACTCATGAAACAAGCCTGACGCAAACGGCGCACTGTCAAGTTTGCTCAACCCAAAACCAAACAAAGGACGGGCCAACACCATAATTGCACCCCCTCCCGAAAAAACACCAAGATCAACACGCAGCACAAGAACAACCTCTAGATATCACCCCGACAAGAAAGCCTATTTTCTCACTACCCCATGCTATCGACCACAGCCACCGGCGGCGAGTGCTTGTAATGCACGCACCAAATCCACCATGACGTCCGCGACTGCCACCCTAATGCCCGGCGTGTAGAGCGTCGATGCCCGAGGCTGGTGGTGAGATCGGTCCGTGACCGGAGAAACCTCGAGAGGAACACACCGCCTCATCCGGTTTTCCTGCATGAGCAAAAAAAAGGAGGTCCCCAACATGGGGACAAGGGACGAATCGAGTGAGGCGACGTTGATGTTGATCTTGTGAAACATGATGTCAGCTAGCCAAAATAGGTAATACGTCACCGGTGCGAGCAACTGGTTTAGATCCAGAAACCCCTAAGGGTTGTGACGGATGGTGTGGAAATTTTATGTCGACGACAGGTGCAATGTAAGTCTTGGCAAAATACACGGGGACGAGCGAGCGCGACGATCGACTCGAAAGAGCATAGGGAGGGAGACAGAGAGAGACATAGAGAGAGGGAGAGCGGGGGAGGGAGGGAGAGACAGACAGATAGGGAGACAGAGAGAAAGAGAGACACATAGAGAGGAAGGGAGAGACAGACAGACACACAGACAGACTCCCTGACAGACCCCCTGACAGACACACTGACAGCCCGAGACAGAGACGGAGAGACAGAGAGACAGAGACAGAAACACCGTCAGAGGCAGAGAGAGACAAGAAACATAGACAGGGAGCCCTCAACAGTGCACCCTTACCGCTCGACTCTTGAGGGCCCTGGGGAGCTCTGCGAGCGAGCGCTGGCCGCTGTCCCGACGGCTTGGCCTTCTCTGGGGCTCCTTCCCGGAAGTTTCCGCCGCATTGTTCTCCGACACCACCGTGTACACCGACGTGATTGGCCGGATCGGCAACACCACCTTATTCGTCGTCTGCCTCGCGTGGTGATACGCATGCACATAGCGGCACAATGTTGGCAGGGGGGGGGGGGGGGGGGGNGCTGCATCCTGCTAAGGGTTTTCGGCATCTTGTGCTTACTTCCTTGCGTACGGATGACAGCTGCGTATGAATTAATTTATTTTCTGGCGCTTTAACTTCCAGAGACAGTTGTAAGCACTGTGTAACTGCCTCGAGGGTGCTTGACCATTTTAACACAACGTGGTGCGATCATCCCCCTTGCGCGAGGTGAGGGTTCTCCACCCCGCACAACATGATCTACTCGATCACCATTAAGTTGGCAGGGGAGGGGTCAAAAGATTGTCTTGTGCCTCAGTAGCTAGCTCAGCATGTTCTACCCCCGATCGGGATGCGCATCACCCTCCTGCTGCGCGTGGACAACATAGCGTTCGGCGTCGTGTACTTGTACTAGTCTCCTCCGTCTTCAAGGGTAGCAGCGGGGGGGGGGGGGNGGGGGGGGGGGGGGGGGGGGGGGGGGGGGGGGGGGGGGGGTGAGCTCTGCAAACAAATATCACGGGACGTACAGGTGACATCGGCTTGATGTTCTTGAAAAGGACGCGGCAGTGCCTGCCTTGAAGTCCGCCACGGACTCACAAGACACAACACCGTTGCACGGTTGTACACGGCGAACACTTGCCACAAAAAAACAACAAGCGCAACACGCGACGCTAGAACACCTGGAGCCTCAACCAGCAAAACATGCGCCCACTCGCCGCAACAATACAAGAGCAAGCAAACACGTTGTCCCAATTCCCCAGGCGCACGCACCAAGTTGATTATCGTAACGCAGGACAGGTCAGCCCCGACCCTATCTAGCCCCTTCTGATGCATCCCCATCAAGAACGGCACCGGTGCCTCCAAGTAGTGCACCAGGGATGCTGGAAGCACGGGAATTAGCGTGTGCGGCCACCTGAGCGTTCACGAGAGCGCGCGGGGGGTGGTGGGCGGGCAGATCTTTCTCGTGGCCGTTTAGGAACACACGCCGGAGGAGACACGCGTCGGCTGATGCTTGGACAAAGGAGTGGCTGTGCTAGCGGTGCAAAATGGCTCCCTCGGCGCAGTGACATGTTGTGCTTAAAACCAATATGAAAACATGGCCGGTCATGGTGCAATTCCTGCTAAGATGCCCCCTCACTCGGCCTGAACAATGGCCGCTTGTCACCTTTGATTTCCATGCTGCCACGATAAAAAAACAAAAGCTTCGCGACGACGCGTTGTACAAGCCCTGCTCGGATATCAGGGATCAGCCAGCCATTCCTTGTCGTACCCCAGAACTTGAACTCACACACTCCGGCAAAACAACGCACAACGTCTGCAGCACGTGTTGACACCAACCAAAACCAACCGCGCAATACCGCACCACCGCCGTTTTGTATAAACATAAAATAATGGCGCCCCCGCTGCTGCACCTGAGCGGGAACAAGAGTCCCAGCAGTGCTGATGTCGCCGGGGCCAAATCTTCCAAGTGATCGCTCAGCAGCAGCACGCTTTGTTCCTGCACGCCGCCGAAGCCACAAACCAGTACGTATGGGTGAGTGAAAAAGACAAGGCGGGAGGCACGGAACGGGATCTTTCCATTGTTCCGCTTAGAGAGAGAGAGAGCACCGTACGTGGTGTCTTCGTTGGAAACAGGGAAATGCATGCCATGCTGGTACGTCGAAGGCCCATAAACGCTTACCTGGCGGCACAAAAATAGCAGCACGATATGCTCGCCTGTGGACAGGAAGGGCCTTGTCCTCCAGAACAAAAATTCAAACGTGCTACATCTACTGCTCGATTTTTGTAACGCCCAGGGGACAACCATGCCAAACGCTGTCGATAAGCGCGTGCTCGTCAAGGGCGTGGCGCTTAGTGAGAGAACGAGAGATTGAGAGAGAGAGAGAGAGAGAGAGAGAGAGAGAGAGAGAGAGAGAGAGAGAGAGAG